GTCTGTGAGGGAGTTTTTAGCCAGTAAACAAATAACTGTATTGAAACACCCTCCCTACTCACCTGATCTGGCCCCCAATGACTTCTTTCTTTACCTGAAGAAAAAGGAAATGTTGAAAGGAAGACATTTTGATGACATTCTGGATATCAAGGGTAATACGATGACAGCTCTGATGGCCATTCCAGAAAAAGAGTTCCAAAATTGCTTTGAAGGGTGGACTAGGCACTGGTGTCAGTGTATAGCTTCCCAAGGGGAGTACTTTGAAGGTGACCATAGTGATATTCAGCAATGAGGTATGTCGCACGTTTTCTAGGAAGAGTTCGCAAACTTAATGTCTGACCTCATGTATATATATAATATGTGTGTTTATATAAATTCTATCTGCTTTTTTCATAAATCATCATCATCACAATTGTTACACTCACAATTATTTCCATATCCTGTAAGAACTCAGGTTCAAGCATCCCTTCTTGTTCTCTTAGTTCTTTTGTTTTTGTTTTTATTTTCTCAGCTCACTGCCATAAATCTATCACGTAGGCCTTTATTTTTCTAATCAGTAGTCCAAAGTTCACGACAAGTGAAAACTTCAGCTGAAGCATCGAGAACAGTTCTCAACCTTCCTAATGCCACGACCCCTTAATACAGTTCCTCATGTTGTGGTGTCCCCCAACCATAAAATTATTTTCGTTGCTACTCTATAACTGTAATTTTGCTACTGTTATGAATCGTAATGTAAATATCTTTTTGTTTTCCGATGGTCTTAGGCGACCCCTGTGAAAGGGTCGTTTGACCCCCAAAGGGGTCACGACCCACAGGTTGAGAACCGTTGGTCTAGAAGAAATTGATAGCAAGGTTGGAACTGTGTCACATCAACTGAGTCACTGTAATGTCCCCTAAGTTTGTCCCCATTGCTCCCTGCTAGATGCTATGCAATCCTCTCATCAAACTGTGCATTTAAAGGATCCGTGAGCAAATCTATCAGGTTCCATTGATTTTCCCATTTCTTGTTTTGTACATAATTGAAGCTATAGCCCAGCAGCCGTAAATTAAGTTGCATCATGTTAAGTGACAGTGGAATTCATGTTGGGAAAGATGTTTTGATAGCACCTTGTCAGGATTTCACTCCTGGTTCTTCTGTCCTGTGAAAGAGACCAGCCGAGCCTGACGTTCTCCAAGCCGATGGGCATGATACCATAGTCTCATTTATTTATGAAGGGAACTCACAGGCACGGTCATTTGTTTTTCCAGAGTGGAATAGAGCAAAAGGTTCCTGAACCCCCATGTAACCAGCAGCAGCAGGGCAATACAAGAAAACCAACAAAACCACCAATAGCCACCCAGGGCATTTTTGGTGGCACCATCTGACCAGAAACAATTTCTTCAGCGCAGATAGATAGGTTTATGTCTGGAAAATTGTACTTCGTATGTCAGAAAGAAAGATTTTGAGAGGAAGGTTATACAACACAGAAGACAACGTATTCATGATAGCACAGTACCTAGCTCCTCGTAGGAGATCCAAAAAGACCTGGTGAATGAACATTTTTAAAAATAAGCATAGGTCCTTATTGGTGGTCAGTGGTTTCACTTTTCTTCAAACTGTGTGCTTATTTTGACAAATTTCCTACATTTTATGAATGAGGCGAGTTCGGGAATGCCACAATATCGATAACTCTCCAGAGTTTTGTTTCTTGAATTCATTTTTCAAAAACATTTTATTTTGAGACAACTGTAGACTTGAAAAACAGATGCAAATAATTACAGAGTTCCCAAATACTCTTCACTCAGCTCCCCCTTATGTTAGCTGCTCACATAACCATGGAACAGTAATCAACCCTAAGAAATTAACCGGTCAACTCTCCTAACCCTTCACCTGCAGAGCTGAGTCCTATTTCACTAGCTTTCCTGAAGGGCCTTTTTCTGTCCCAGCAGCCAAGCTGGAATCTTACCTTGTGTTTAGCTATCATGTCTCCTTAGGCTCTTCCAATCTATGACGATTTCTTTGTCTTTCCCTATCTCCACGACGTTTACATTTTTGTAGACTACAGGCCCTTTGTTTTGTAGAAAGTCCCTCAATTTGTGTTTGATGTTTTATCACTATTAAACTGAGGCTATGCGTTATTGGAAAGCAAAGCACAGGGGTGACGTGCCTTTCTCCGTATGTGAGATCAGGGGGTCCGTGGCCGTCCACAGGTGTCATGGGTGATGTGAGTGAACCTTAATCACTTGTCCAGGGTGGTTGGCCAGAATTCTCCACAGTAGTTCCTTTTTTCCTTTGTAATATCTGAATACTCGGGGGACATCCTTTGAAACTCTGCAAATGCTGTTTGTGCTAAACATTCACCCACCAGTTTTAGCATCATTAGTGGGTCTTGCCGGCAGCAGCTCTTGCTGTGGTGTTTCAAAGATGATTCTCTATTTCATCCTGCTTACATTTGTTAATTGGAATTCTTCTGTAAATTCTTCTCCCTCACTTACTGGTTCATTTATTTATCAGTGTCAGTCGGGGCTCGTGGCTATTTATTTTGTTCCTTGGGTTATAAACGGATGCTGTCACTGATTGTGATTCAGGCAGTTCCAACCGGAGCCATTCAGCGACCTTTCAGGCGTCCCCTGCGCCTTTTCCTTCGCCCCCATCCTTCTCGTTCTGTTGTGTGGGGGCGTGTCCTCGCCGTCTGGCACATCAGGATGCTCCTGGCTCATCGTGTGCTTTGCCTCCAGCCCTGGAATCCTGCAGTTCATTCAAGAGCCTTTCGTTGCTTTTGTTGGAAAATGGCGTTTAGAACGGTGCCACTGAAATGTCACGGATTCGTGGTTTTTAGCATTGTCCTTGCCAGGTCACTGCTTCAGGAAGTCTGTGGTATGGACTGAATGTGTCCCCCCCAAAAGTAGTATCATCCTAATCCCCAAAATTCTGGTATCGGGAGGATGCCTTTGGGAGGTCTGTGGTCTGAAAGTTTGTGTCTTCCCTAAAATTTGTGTGTTGAAATCCGAATGCCAACGTGATGGTGTCAGGAGGTAGGGCCTCTGGGAGGTACTTAGCTCATGAGGGTGGAGCCTCATTAATGGGATTAGTGCCCTTATAAATAAGACCCCAGACAGCTCCCCCACCCCTTGGCCATGTGAGGACACAGCGAGAAGGTTATGAACCAGGAACTGGGCTCTTACCAGACATGAAATCTGCCAGCACCTTGATCTTGGACTTTCGAGATTCCAGAACTGTGAGAAATAAATGTGTGTTGTTTAAGCCCCCGAGCCCACAGTATTTTCATTATAGCAGCCCACAGGGGTGCTCCCTCCAACTTAAAACAGAAAACAGACCCTGAGCCCCAAACATACATCACACGCTGACACATAGTCCTGTTTACCAAGAGTAATGTTTTTTTAATTCGTAATCATTACTGCATGGGCAACACCAGTCTTAGCTCAGGGCCGGGGTCCTGGGCTGCACTGCTGTGACAGGTAATAACAGCTGTTTGTAGTTAGGTCTGGAGGAGCTACCGGGATAGGGGGACCCATGGAGGGAGGAGCCACTGAGCTTCAGGCCAACGGGCAGCCCCTCCGGGACTCAGGGCAGCAACCGTTCCCAACCAGCAGGATTGCTTCTGTATTTTAACTAGCAGTACAGGCCTTAGGATTTACAATAAGAAATATATTTGGTCTTCTCCCTGTTTCCGGCACAGAGCTCCTAAAGCCATTGAAATTTCCTAAGTGATGAGACTGAAAAAAGGTGTCTTTTGTTATGTTAAGGAGGTGACTTTGGGGAAAACTCTAGGTAACCTAAGGAGAGGGGCTGGTTGCCAGGGAACCCAACCACGTGATTAGAGCGTTGGAACTTTCAGTCACACCCTGAAACCTCCGGGAAGGAGGGCAGGGCTGGGTGTTGAATCAATAGCCAGTGGCCAGTGATTTAATCAATCCTGATTATGGAATGGAACCTCCATAAAAACCCAAGAGAATGGAGTTCAGAGAGTTTCCAAGTTGGTGAACACCTGGAGGCCCATCCAGAGAGGGCATGGAAACCCCGTGCCCCCTCCCCGTGCCCTGCCCTGTGCATCACTTTCAGCTAGCTGTTCCTGAATTACATCCTTTTACAATAAACGGGTAACCTAGTAAGAACCGTTTCTCTGAGTTCTGTGAGCCGCTCTAGCTAATTAATTGAACCCAAGGAGGGGGTTATTGGAACCTCCAACCTGTAGCCAAGGGTCAGAGTACAGATGACAACCTGCCTTGAGGATTGGCCTCTGAAGCCGGGGTGGGGCAGCCTTGTGGGATTGAGCCCTTCACCTGTGGGATACGATGCTACCTCCAGGTAGGTGGTGTCAGAATTGAGTTGCACTGTAGGACACCCAGCTGGCGTCAGAGAATTCCTTGGAAACATGGAGACCTCTCCCTAACACCATCAGAACTGGATCACAGAACTGTGAGCCACACGTGTTCATTGCAGCTGAGTTTCAGCCTCCGTATTCATACCTGTAGGGCCAGGTGTCTGCATACTGGGTGCTCCTCCTGATTAGAGCTACTGCGTGTGTGTCACTAGAACCTTCTGTGAAAGCCTGGACTCTGGGGTCAGCTGACCTGTATTTGAATCCTGTTTCTGGCTCACACAGGCTGTATAATTCTAGTCCAGTTACTCGACCTCTCGGAGCCTCAGCAGAAAGGGATAATGGGAGCACCTGCTTCACAGCACTGTGTACAGGACGTAATCTGCGTGAAGCACTCAGCCCAGTGCCTGCTCAGCAAACCTTAACACTTGCTGCTACCACTATTGCTCCAAGTGATAATAATCAACAAAGATTACAGTGTTAGCCACTGTTTGACCTATCATTGAGGTGTTTTTTTGTTTGTTTGTTTTTCCCTATCCTTCACGGAAGCAGCAAACATTTACAGAATTCAGTATGTTCCCTGCAAAAGGAGAGGAACTCTGGTATTTTGTCAAGATGCTGCTGCAAAATGAGATGAAGAATTCTGTCCGGTTACTAATTACCCACCGTATTTTGCAGAACCAATCGACTTTGCATGAAATGGTCCGATCATGAAGTGTTGCTGTGAAGCCAGAAACAGTAATTGCAAAGGAGAAGTCCACTCCCTGTTGGCAGGATCAGGTAGGTTATGAATTAGCTTTAATGCTATAAATACCTTGAGCACAATTTTAAGGTTTGTCCTACCTGTAATTACACCCATAGAATATTGGAGGCAAAAGTAATCTTAATGATAATTTAGTTTGATAAACTTTAATTTGCACAAAAGAAAACTGAAACTCAGGAAAGCGAAGTGACTTTCCCAAGGTCACACAGCACAATAGTATGTCTAGAGCAGCACTTTCTTTCAGATACAAAATAACATTCCTCAGATAATTAATTAGTACCTGCTTTGTCCTGATGACTGTAGTCTTTAGCTGATTTTTGTGTTATGTCCAGTGTCTTTAGCTGGCAGCCTCTTAGCAGGTAAGCAGAGAGAGACTCATCAGGGTGATGACAATAGCCTTTCAGTCTCCACAAAGGTTAGGCCATCTTTTGGTCAGCATGGTCCCGTGATCGGCACTCTGTAGATGACAAGACGCTGGATCTGGAATTTGGGGTGGTGAACTCCTCTTGCAGCAATCAAGGAAGACTGCATGGAGGAGGTGGAGTCTTAGCTCAGGCAGCTGTAACAGAAGACACAGGTGGAGCTTTGCAAGGGAGGGAAGCTTAAACAAACAGACATTAATTTCTCACAGTCCTGGGGGCTGGAAGTCCGAGATCAGCGTGCCAGCAAGGTCAGGTTCTCAGTGAAGAGCCTCTTCCTGGTTGACAGACGGCCGTCTCCTCTCTGCGTCCTCACATGGCAGAGAGAGGAAGCAAGCACTCTTGTCTCTTTCTTAAGGGCACCAGCCCCATTCGTGAGAGGACTCTGCCTCATGACCTAATGACCTCCCATGGGCCCACCTCCTGATACCCTCATATTGGGGGGAGACATAGGCATTCAGTCCATCACAAGTGGCATTTACGCTGGGACTCGATGGATAAGTACCATTTTGCCCATTGGACCAGCACAGAGAGGGGGAGACATTCCAGGCAGAGGAAGCAGGGTGAGCAGGTACTGCGGTGCCCGTTAACACACTCCCTCTCATGCCTTGGTTTAATGTGTTAAATCCTCTATGGGCGGCACCAAATGAAAACAGGATTTTTATTCCCGTGGAATTTCCAGGGCTTATCAAACAGTTAATGAGCAAAGATTGTGTATATTTTGTGGTTACAACTTTAGCTAATGGGCAGAAGAGGAATTCGAATTTTATCTTCCAGTGTCCATAAAATAGCACCATGGTACTGTAATTATTAGCATAATCATTAAAAAAGAGTTTAGTTAAAATTAAGAAAACCAAGACACACGAAGCCACGGTGCCCTGCTCAAAGCAGGTCAAGCCCACATGCAGCAAGCCTTCTAAATGGACTCGGATGCTTTGAAATCAAGTCCTTGGAGCGCCAATTACAGGGGTCCCTGAAAAGCAATTATTGCCAGCTGCCCCGGCTTTCCACCACGAGTTCTAATTTAATTACATCTTCTGTGTTTAAACTGTAGAGCTGTGCTGCAAGGTACAGCGAAATGGAAGGAATTTAGGTGACTGGGGGAAAAAAAGTATTTCTTTGTGCTGAAGGTAATTAGTCTTGGTCATAACTGCTTCCAAGAGAGACACGGATGATGAGCTCATTAATTTCAAGTGGTCGTTGCTGCAAAAGAGCTGGGAGACTTGCTTTCCTGGGTGAACTGGGTCTAGAAGGAAGGAGACAGTGCATCGGCTGCACTCACCCCACTGGCCTGCTCAGCGCCGCCAGGGCCCTCTGTCAGCCAGGCCCCCCCCTTCTAAGCAAAATCAAGCTTACAGATTGATTTTATCGATTGCAAATATTTAACAATCGCATTTGGCTTGCGACTCCTGTTGATGAAACAGCCATTTGCACGGCTTATGACCTCGCTTTGGAGTTCCTAATGCCGGAGAACGATAGTGGGTGTGCCTGTCCCTGGCAGGAAACCAAGCCATGTTGACTTTGTACAGAAAAGGCTCTTCCCATCCTTCTCCCAGCTCATTGCTTATCCGGTGCTACCAAAGTTCCCCCTGTTTCTAAACGTGCCGTCTCCCTGGATGGTGGTGAAGAATCGGCACTTTATCGGCGTGGAAAGAGTCCTTTTCGTTATAGGCTGACTTGTTCATTGTGCAGGTGAGGTGGTCGGCAGGTGCGGTCGTTGGATGGACCCCTCAAGGTCACCAAGATGCCAGGAAGAGCAGGGACGGCATTCCACGCCACCTGCCTTTCGGTTCCATTGAGATGGGAAGCATTCTGTGGGAATGAAAGCGGCCTTGGGCCTTGACCTGTAGGATGAAGGAACCCACCACCCCTCCCCCACATTTTTCAACCTGGATGCGCCCCTGCTTCCAGAGTCTCTATAACTGTGTTTAAAATCCCCTCTATGAACATTCCCTTAAGAAAAAAGCTCCATTGCCCATTTCTGGACCCTACGCCAGCCCCACTGGGTCAGAACGTATCACACTGAAGCTTAAAAATACTGCTTTTCCCCAACAGCCCTCAGTCTGGTTAGAGGAGCTTCCTGTACAAATCAAGGACACTCGTGTGAGCCACACACACCACGTGTTCCCCCGTCACCTCCACCAATGCTGACACACCTGAGAGTGGACTCTTAAAATGAACATTCCCCAACATGAAAACCTCTGATCTAAAGAGCACCAAAGACATATGAAGTTAAATGGCCAACAAGTAGAATAAATGTGTTTATATCCAGCTGCTTATCCTGAACGACACAGATATAATAGGATAATTAAAAGCAAAGAAAAAGAGCAAAATCAATGGAGTAAAGATGTCCTGGGGAAGAAAAACTGTCCAGAAATCTGAGCTCCCTGGCAGCTGATGCGGAAAGGAAGCTGCGATATGCTGCCGTGCTCTCGGAATCTAACAGCGGGACAGGAGAGCATGGCTTGTTTCTTTGTTTGTTTAGCATGAAATTCTGAGGGGATGTAACGAGGTGACACTGAGCAGCCCTGGAGCCACGTGTGTCCTTACGGCTTTGGGAGTACGGTTCGCATGGTTGTTCTAGCACTTGTCAAGCGCGTAGACCAGAGCAGTAGGACTCTGGCCCCTGAGTACGCCTTGACCTCATCCCGTCATGCACGGTGAGGAAACAAGAGAAGCAGAGGCAGAAGGGGACATTTTGGAGGCGTGACATCATGCAGATAAAGGTTTTTCACACGAAGCGGTTGCCAGGCTTGAAGCATTTGGTGGTGACCACGTCAGCCCCTGAGTTCCTGATGCCTGTAAGGATCCAGTCAGGGCAGCTCGCATTAGAGGTGCTGGAGTTCACCAGTGCCATAACCCGCAATCAGAGCCATAGAGGTGCAGGCATCCGGCCAGTGGTGCCCTTGGGAGGATTCGGGCCTTAGCTTGCTCCCGGAGCTGACTGCAGCACCCCTCAAATTACCAGCAAAGGTGTCAGCACAAATGCCACTCCCGTCGGCTGAAAATGACAATATGTGACTTGTGTGGTCTTCTGTCAAAATATTTCTGAGACCATTTCTTGAGGCTATAAAACAGAACAGAACCCCTTACCTCCAGCTCTGTGTCTCCCCAAAGAGCCATACAGATACTTTTTGTTTACGTAAAAGGGAAAAAAATGTTTAAAAAGACAAAACCACAAAAGCGGGCCTACCAGCCAAGCAGCTCTCCTCTGACTCCCTTTGAATGGTGTGACGGCACTCTAAAATACAGTAAGATTGTCCCCCAAAAGAAGAGGCTGTTAAAAATCGTGCAAATACTCCATTTTTTAAATGTTTTGTTGAACCAGTAGATTAGGATTTACGTAATTTCACTCTGCCTACAGTGAGTTGCTGTGTGTGTTTTGTTGTGTGTTTTTTTTTAAGCTGAGCCATCCTGCCACCTGTTGGCAGCTCAGCAGCTGCTCAGCTCGGGCTGGGCATCGAACTGCTCAGAGCTCAAACTCTTGAGTGAGCTCTTAACCAACTGAGCCACTCAGCCAGCCTTTGTTTACTGTGTGATTTTAATTTTGTTTCTGAACCCCGGGTGTCACTCCAGGAGCTCTTACCGGGTATACCAGATGTCATCTCCCAGGAGGAGGCGGCCTCAGGTGCAGCAGGCATTTCTGCCTGAGTTGCCAAGTGCTCTGGAAAGGGGAAACGCCACTCACTCACCAAGGGGACTTCACTGAGGACCATGACTCACGTGGCTACTTGGTCGTGTGCCTGGTTCTCAGGAGAGGCTTGAAATCATTTCAGAGGGGTACTCCTAAGAGATTATTTCTCTTTTGCCAATTTGACACTCAAATTAAAGAGCAGAAGTCACACTTCTCCTCGCTTCTCCTTTCTTTATTGATCTTTGCAAAGACATTACTTCTCTCCTGCTCCCTCTCAGCCAGACAGGACTGACGTCCTGTGTCAATCTCAGCTTGAACTAGTGAAGATTTCTCTGGTGGAAATTTGGGAGCTCTGGAAGCCAGATGCAGAGTGGTGTTCACATCACACTGAGAGCCTGAGACCGCGTGTCCGCCCTGCCACCTCCTGCCCCAGCCACTGTCCCAGATGTGAGCTTTGTGCTCTCAGAAAACTCACATCAGCTCTCTGAGACCCTAGGCTTCTCTCTTTACAATGAAAGCATTAATAGGGAGGATTCTAATGGCTGTTAGAGATCCTGTCATCTCTCTCCTAAAACACTGTGAAGTTACGAGGGGCTGTAAAACGCCTCCCCAGGTCACACAGGAGTGGGCAGATTCTCGAGGACGCTAAAAGCTCCCAGAATGACGACCCAATGAAACCCTCCTGAGGGGACCAAATCTGGAATAACTGTGGCCTTGAGCATCCCTGGACTCCTGAGCTGGTGACAAGTAGAGAGGAGAGGGCCCCATCCAAACATGCTTAGCTGCTTCTTCACCTGGGCAGAAATGTGGCTTCCTCTGTTCACTTTGAAGCGTGAATGACGTCTGTCTCATCCGTTCTGGAGCGCTGGCTTGAGCGGGAGAATGGAGGTAGGTCCTTAGGACGACAGGACAGAAAGGGGAGACCCAGGAGCGGCCCAGAAATCAGATGCACTGTTTGCCAGAAGAAGAACCACATCTTTTCAGGGTTTTGCCTGAGGCCAGACTACCGAATTCAACTTAAAGACAAAAAAATAAAATAGTGAAAGTTGCTCTGACGAGCTGCAGATGATCTTATTGTACATTTCGCCAAGGATTTTCAAGTGCAGTATTTCGTGTACCTTCACAGCAATAAAACTAGTGAATAGTATTTTGTTTTTAAGAGAGGCCGAGCATCGTTCTCATGCATTGCTTTATGGATACTGAAGAAAATGGATCTCATCAGTCCAATACTACTTGAAAACATTAAATTTATAACAGGATGGGAGAAAAATAAAATTCATTGAGATACGGGAGTGGAAGACAAAGCTAAGACAGAGAATAAGACAAAAAGCATAGAACCGGGATGACCTCTAAGCTCCCTCCAGCTCTCAGCCCTTTGGGTCAGTGCTTCCCTGGGTGGAGTCCCACAAACGCTGTCCCGTGGGGTCAGAGGTGAGCTGAGATCACAAGTGTCCCATGCTCAAACGTGTTTGGGAAACTAACAAAATAAAACCAGTGTCTTTGTGGCAGGACTTCTTGGGGTCATTAACACGTAGAACGTATCTCCTAAAGGTGGGTAATAGGCAGGGTATACCAAACATTTGTCAAGCTTTTGCAGATGACATCCTTGCTGCTTTTCAAATGAGGAATCCAAGATCTGTGGCTCTATAACTACTTCCAGATCGCAGATAAAGAATCTCAAAGCGCTAACCCCTAGTCACAGCAGCCTTGCTACTCTCTGCTCTTAAGGATGGTGGATAAATGAAACCTGTAACCAATGCAGGGAAATCAAACAAACATACAAACAAAAACAGCCAGTCGCAGCTCCGTTGGCTAACTCAGTGCTCATACCCATCCCTAAAATTGCAACTTCAGTCTGATTCAAGGGCTCTGTGGTCTCATGTTCAAAACAAAAGAGGAATCGTGTTGGGCCTCAGTCAACGATGTTTGGGCCTGAGGCCGTCATCATGGGTTCCTTAAGGAAAATGCTATTTCCAGCTTTTTCCAGTCAGTAGGTATCTGAAGTCTTCTTTCCTCCAACCACTCCACACAGATAGAGCAGAATGCTTAACCTGAATGGTCGTGAAAGTACATGTCAGGAGTTTATTATGGCCACACAGATGCGATTCCCGGAATATCTGCTCCCTGGGCCTCCCATGCATTTATTCTTGGCTTAAGTAACTTCCTCAAAGTCACTCAGAGCCAGGTCTCCGGAACAGGCCTGGGGCTCCCAGGCCTTCGTGCCGGTGAAGGCAGCAGGCTGCTGTGAAGTCATCATCCAGCCAGGTGGGAAGGGGTGATGGCGAGTTCATCATATCTTCTAGATGAGGGTGAGTGATGGTCATCGAGGCTGCGTTACCACGTGAAGTTATGCACATCGGACAGACCAAATGGAACAATCCTTTAAACAAGAAATTGTTTGCAGGTGCAAACAAGCATGAACTAGAACTCTGCAAATGCATTTCCATTACTAGCTAAAGACTCAATCAAATTAGTTAGGTCCTACTCATGACAGCGAGATGTCAATTATTCATCATAAACCTAGGGATGTGTATGACCATCATGGTAGATGTCTAACCTGGTCTGTGATGCATGAATGTCTCAATTTCAAGAGCGTGTTAGTCAAAAACAGCTGAGAAGCCCTGAAGTCGTGAAAAATCAAAAGAGCTGAATGTTTTTCTTCAACATTTTTTAAATAAAAGAAATATCTGAAGGTAAAAATTAAATTTCTTCAAGAAATGGTGCTGGAACAACTGGACATCCATGTTAAAAAAAATAAACCTGAACCCACACTTTATACCTATAAAAATTTAATATGAAATGGATCATATCCAAATGCAAAACCTAAAAGTATAAAATTTCTAGGAGAAAACATAGAAGAAAATCTTTGTGTCCTTGGTTTAGGCAAACATTGCTAGGACACAAAAATACGTGAATCATGAAAGAACAGAGGGATAAATTGGACATCATTAAAATTAAAATCTCTTAAAAATTGATAAAATGAAAATAAAAGGTATAGAATGGAAGAAAATATTTATCAAACCCATATCTGATAAAACACTACAATCAAGAATATACAAAGAATTCACAAATTCTATTATAAGAAAACAAACAACCCACCTTTTTTAAGTGGACAAAAGATTTGAACAAACACTTCACCACAGAAGACATGGTGGCAAAGAAATACATGAAAAGATGCTCAGTGTTATTAGGGAAATGTAACTTAAAACCATCATTAGCTACTTCTACACAACAATTAGGATGACTCCATTTTTTTATTAATTAAAGTTTATTGGGGTTACAACCTTTAGTAAAGTTACATAGGTTTCAAGTGTACAATTCTGTAATACATCATCTATACATCACATTGTGTGCTCACCACCCAGAGTCAGTTCTCTTTCCATCACCATAGATTTGACCCCCTTTACCCTCATTTACCTCCCCCTCCCCACTTACCCTCTGGTAAGATTCAGTTTTTTAAATTGACAATATGATGTGCTTGTGAGGTTCCAGGCTGTCGTAGGCAGACTAATGCCCACCCCAGAGATGCCCACGTCCTCGTCCCCCACACCTGTGAATATGTTTCGTTACACGGCACGGGGCACTTCAGGTTAGAAATAGAAGTAAATTTGCTGATCAGCTGGCTTTAAAATAAGGAGATTATCCTGGATTAGCCAGGTCTCCAGTGGAGTCACAAGTGTTTTTTAAACGTGGGAGACGGAGGCAGAAGAGTCAGTGTCAGCTGCTATGTGACAAAGACTCAAACAGCCACTGCTGGCTCTGAAGATGGAAGCGGGTTCAGGCCAAGGAGTGCGGGCGGCCAGGAGGAGCTGGCAAAGGCGAGGCAGCGTTCTCCCCTCGAGCCCACGGAAAGGAGAGCAGCCTGCGACACCTTATTTTTATTTTTAGCCCAGTGAGGTTGGTTCTGGATATCTGACCTCTACACTGTAAGATTTATAAATGTGTTGTTTAAAAGCACCAACTTGGTGGTAATTTGTTATAACAGCCGCTGAAAACTCATACGCAAATTAATTGGAACTCGCCAAAATTTCTGATGAGTATGAAAATTATTTCAGTGGGAAACAAAAGCTGGCAGTGCCTAACAAAGTCTACATACTGTCTGACTACATTTAGATGGCTTTCTAGAAAAGACACAACTAGAGGGACAAAGACAGAGGCCCGTGATGGTCAGGGGCTGGGTGGGGAGAGAGGTTTTACTGCAAAGATGCACAAGGACACTGGGGATGAATTCATCTCAGTAAGCTCGGATATATGCATATATCCTCCATATAAGACAAGCCGCCTTGGAAGGCAAGGAACGTGAGAAACCCCGCCAACAGCTGCTTTCTGCTGTCTCACAGGAGCCACTTTTTACAAAAGGGAATTTTAGAAATGGAAGGAATTTTAAAGATCATTTAGACCCTTGATTCCTAAAATCATTTTTAGGTCTCCAATGCCTTTCCCCAAATATAATACTGTTATAAGTAGACACTGTGTGCCAGACACTGTGGCAAGCAGCAGTACTTCTTTTAACCCTCAAGACACCTCTATAAATAGTTATGATGTGAGTACTGTTAATAATAATAATAAAAAGGGTCAATTGTTAATAATAATAATGATTATACAGGTGTGGACATGGAGGCTTATATAACGTCACACAGCTGGCCAGTGGTGGAACAGACATTCAAACTCTGTCCATTTGATTCTAAAGCAGGTTCTGGGGACCATCACATGGTACACCCTTGTTTCTGTAAAACCCCTAGCAAGCTGCTCTGGCTGCAGCATCTGGGTGTGTGTGTGTGTGTGTGTGTGTGTGGTGGAAGTAGGCGTCTGGCTCTTGCTGGTGGTCTCACAATGCCAGTGTCACTGACACACTACGGAGCTGGTCCAATGACATGGTTATGTAAGGACGAAGGTACAGCCGAGAGGTCAAGCGACTTGCTCTAGGTCGCACAGCTGGCTAGTGACTGAGGCGGGTCTCTTGACTCCTGGTCAAGCTGTGCCAGTTCACAATATAAAGCCCATTTTTTATACAAATCTCTATCCTCTTAACCCACTCAAGACAAAGTCCAACGGAAAATGTAACCTAGTAAGTTGGATGTCCCCTCTTTGGGCTGTATTTTTCCATTTAAAGTATAAATGCTATTACATTCAAAGGAGAACTGTTAATTCCAAAGTGATGAGTTGCTGAAGGGTAAAGAAAGGCCCAGCTGTTTCCCAAAGTGGGCACTTGTCACCTCATATTCTGACTTTTTAATAGTGTTTGGTATATGTTTTAGCAGCCCCAAAACCTAAATCAGGCCTTATGAGGGAGACATTAATTTAATTTGCATTTCACAGGCAATGCTGCCATGTCCCACTCTGTTCTCTGACGTGAACGCTCTCTGTCCCAGGGAAGCCTGCGCTGTGCTGGAGCCCTGTCTGCAAGCCGTTTCCACGGAAATCTGCACAGCAGACCTAGCTCGGATCTTCCTCCAAGTGAATCCCAGGAAAATGCTGCAGCGACTGATAAAGTAATGCGACCAATTAAGTGCTCAGTGTCGTAAGGTGCTGAAAAATGAGTATGTGAATTTCAGTGCTCATATTCCTCCATCAGACAAGAGCAAATGGATTTCTACCTTATCTCATTAGAGACGGCAGTAAGGCTTGGGGGCTGTAAAAGTAACTTTCAGTGGAAGATGAGTGTACCGTGGTCTCAGCTCGCCAATATGAGTCTGATTCTGTTAGTTCCACTGATCTCCTGTGGATATTCTGGGACCTCGACCAGCATGTCTAGTCGGCATGTCTTTTATTAGCAGGGACGACATGGCGGGGTGTACCTGCTTTCCTCATTCCATAAGTAATTTATCGAGCCCCTACCATGTTGCAGAACTGGGCTATGTGTTCTATATTCATTACCTTTCTGAGTCCTGTATAACACTCCTGGATGGCAAGCACGGTCATTCTTGTTTTTGTCCTTTAGTCTTTTTATTTTGCCTCATGATTCTGATTTTAAAGATGCTGATGAGGTTAAGTAAATTGCCCAAGTTCGCATTATTGAGTGCAGAATCAGAATTTACGCCCAGGGCTGTCTGAGTCTACACTGCAGGCTTCTTTCTGTAGATCACGTGATCTTCAGAGGCGGACACCATGGGAGCGTAGCAGTCAAATTAAAATGGCCAAGGCTGTCAGCACGGCCACCCACACCTGGCTCTTTCTATACATACATTGGAGCTAGACTACGGCATTAGGATTCATTACTATCCAATAGAATACTAGGCTCAGGAAGAAACTCAGAAACCATCTGGTCTGACTCCCTTAATTTACAAATTCTTTCTTTATTTGACCCATGTTTACTGAGACCCAGTTTTATGGGGTACAAGGTGGAGGACACCCAAGTCCCCATGCTGTTAAGGAGATCAGTGTAGTGACAGAAAATGACAAAAATACAGGTCGTTAGAGTCCTGGCAACGTGAGGGTTGGGTCGTCGGGGCTTTGCAGAGCACAGTGAACAGGCACTCTGGGCAGATTTGGGGTCTGGGAGAAGATGATGTCTTTGTTGAGTCCTGGGAAAGACACAAAGAAATAGAAGCTAGCAAGTCAAAAGGACTGGAATTAGGCCTCTGGGAAACGGGACTTCAATGTCGAGGGACTAATGTATTTGAATGTAATCTCCCCCTTGTCCCAGGCCCACGGAGGAGGAAAGATGGCGGCAGGAGACCTGTGCACAAGACCTGTGCAGCAGCTCAGCTCACCGTAGGAGCAGGTGAGACACACAAACACACACAGGTGCCGTTTGATAGGCACTGCTGTGACTGCTCTGGGGTTGCCGTAGGAACTCAAGGGAATGGACAGGCCAGGACACGTGGTCGGCTCTGGTGACTGCTGCATGGGGCTGCCCAGTACATGCATCACCACCTGCCTCCTGTGGTAACAGAGCCTCCTGGGCACGAGGGTGGGCACCTGACCCAAGCACAGTCAGTGACAGTGCCCGTCATCCTGGACACAGCTAATGTCCCAACAGAACCGTCTAGACTGCTGCTCTGGGACGGAAAAACAGAAACCTCGGAAAAGGAGTGCCGTCTTACCAATGAGCTGCTAAACCAGGAAGAAGTGAACCTGGGGTGCCATTTTGGTTGCCTTGTAGAGATCCCGACTGCGGCCTGGTTCCAAGCGGAGCAGCAGAACCGAGCGTGAGTCCTGGTGGCCCTGACCTGCTCACCCAGCACCCAGGACTCGGGTCCCTCAGTTCTCCCAGGATTCTGAGCCACTTCAGTGTCCCTCAGCCGGTGAGCCAATACATCCTGTCTTGGTGGGTGAGTGGGTAGGTGGGTTGGTTGGTTGCTTTTAACCTGGTTTGAGATAGGTAACTAATAATTACAAAAGAGTCCTGACACATGGGGAAAACTCAAAAAAGAAGAAACTGAAATGTCGATATATGTGTGGGAAGTTCTTTACCTTCCTAAGGATTAAAGAAATTGAAGTGAAACAGTCCTATCACTGGCTGGCTGTCAAACTAAAGAAGAGCAAACGGCGTCATGATGCTCAGGGCTGTTTAGGGTTCAGGAAATGAATCCTCACAGACTCTGGGGGGAGCGTACCCTGGAGCCATCTCATCATGTCAACACGGGACACATGCATTTCTTATAATCTGTCAATTCCTCCTCTAGTAATTGATTCTAAGGAAATAATTGTATAATCTTACAAAGGTGTGTGTACAAGAATGTTTACTACACATTTGTTCATACAGCAACAAAAAATAATTAGAATGAACCCAAATGCATAGGGGGTTGATTTTCTTAAATGATGGTACAGTGATGGGGTGGAATACCATCCGGTGGTTATAACAATTATGGCAGGCCCATATGCGATGACATGGGAAAGTGTCTACAGTCTACTGTCATGTGATCAAAACAGGATGTAGAATAATAAGTACAATGTGCTCTATTTTTTATTTAAGATGTATGTGTGGAAATGCATGCGTAAAAGAATCTGGAAGGTCTGGTTATTTCCTGGGTACTCGGGATAGTGAAGAAAATTTTACTTGGACTAAATTGTTTAAATATTTTGCAAAAAAATATATACTATTTAAAATTCAAACCTATGTTGCCATATTTTTTTGGGGGAAAGGATTAGACCAGTAGCCTGGGGAATCGTCACATCATAGAAGAAGTGGGCGCCCTTAAGCGTTAGTGAACTCTTCCTCGAATGAAGAAAAGCTACAGGTTGATGGACAAGATATGGGAGGAACATGTAAAACTTCCCTATGGTCCAAAAAGTAACCTGGAGCTGGCTTAAATCTCCACACCTTTTCCTACTTGTGTGCCAAGCTCACCGCCGTTAGGAGACCCATATGCCCAGCCCCTCCTGCAGCTAATGGCATTTTTGACTTGCTGAATTTAGTGACATGGCCCCATCCTTGGCATTTCTAGAACCCTGGCAGGATTTACGGGGCTGGCAGAGAAGTCTTACGTCTCCCCATGTTTCAGGTTGAACCCTCTGAAATTGCCACCGCTGAACCACTCTGACCTATGGAAATGTGAATTTATACGATGAACCGTAGTTCTTTGTCTCCCATACAGAAATTTATATTTTCTATGATTGGTATGAAACGGTGCCTTCAGCAGCCCGTGACCACAGATGGAAAAGGAGTTTGTATTCAGCCTGACTGTTGTTTGGCCTCCCAAGTCTGGAGGCTGTAAAAAGCCGTGGTTGCACAGTGTGAACTGTATACGTTTGCTGTCATCATTTCAAACCTGTTGCTAGAAACCCCGTTGAAAGCTCTGCCCTCCGCCCCCTGCACCACCGGCATTTCTAGTCCAGCTCTCTTCTTTTCACACTTGAAGAGGCTTTTAGCATATCTGCTGTTGTTGCTTTAAAGCGCTATTCAATTCAGAGGCGAGTGTAAAAACCAAGCTGTGGAGGTTTTTCTGGAGCTAAAGTGCCCTCTCTCAAACACACGAGAGCAGTGCTAAGTGAGACAATGGCGAGGACAATGTTGGTGGCCTAAGTGATCAATTGAAAGGCAACAAAGATAATTGAGAATAATGAAAAGAAAGGTGGAATCAACATAATTCGTATAAAAAGGATAACAAGCTTTATCAACCGGACGGGTTTTAAGGCAGTTTTTAAGTCAGGTGTGTCTGGAAGACACCGAAACTGATGATCGCCTGCAATATTCAGCTCAATGTGCAGGAAAAGCAACTGGGAGGAAGCAGTTCAGGGTCCTGGACGCTAATGCAGGGAATGTGAAGGGCTTTACTAAATGTGAAATTAAATTTAGATTTATGGCCACGGTTAGTCCACCGGAAGTAAACCGACAGTATCATATCATTATTTTTTAATTTCTTGCTTTAGATGCTTTATTAAACAAACAAGAAATGGACAGGAAGAAAAAGTTAAGGCCAGTCTCAGAATAATTTTTGCTTTTTCTCATAATTATTTCAGTCTATACCCATTTATTCCAGCATTGATGTCACAGAGAACACACTACCGGTGTAGGCAGTTATGTTAAGATGTGGACGACACACGGGGGAAGATGTTTTCTAATATTGACCTTTTTATGTACATGAAGCAACTTATTACATCTCTCCAGGACTGACGATGCTACAAGCCATGGAATTTGTCCAGAGAAAGTACCTCCAGGGCGTCTGCTTCTCAGGAGGTGGTTTCTGGGAAAAGGAAGATGGGCTGAGATACAACAGATAAGCAGACAGGGTGGCTGTGGGCGTTACCGCGAGAGTTGTCATTCCTGAACACCGCGATGAATAGAAAACTCAGCTACTCCATCCCAGGAGCTGCTTCTGAGTCCTGAGTGGGACGAGCCTGTGTCCCCCTTTCAGACTGTCCCCTTTCTACTGCTTTGCTGGGAGACCCAGGACAGAGAGCAGATGAGACCAGTGTGAGGAAGTCCCCTGACAAGGGACATGACTGGGGTTTTATCACTCAGTAGGAGGAATAAACAACAGCTCAAAGGAACTGAGATGGGATTAGGACATGAATGGGAAGCTGTCTGGAGAAACCGGGGGCAAGTGCTGGGCCCCGCCTTTGAAGGAGCCCTGCGGAGGCTGCGTGAATGGTGAGCCATGTGCAGGACCCAGGGCCCCGGTGGAGCTGCCCTCCCCAACTGTCCTGCACAGCCTGGTCCTGCCGTGCTGACCTGCCCGGTCCTGCCAGGACAGAACTGTGGCGATTTCAGGTCTGGTTCCCTGACCTGTACTAACTGCAGACCCCTTCTGGTTAGCGGACGTCTAGTCATTGCCATCTCATGGCCACCTTAGCCTTTGGCCACTTATGTCCTGTCAAGGAAATAACTCAGCCCTCCCCTGCTCTGGTGGACTGGAAAACAGCCTTTCTCAAACCCTGGAGGGGCGGAATGAGACGCGTTTAAGTCAGATGGATGGAGACTATCTTGACCATTTGCTGATATTGTTAGCGCTAAACAGCAAAGAAGTTTCCAGTTCCTCCCCCCACTCCCAGCCCCAGCGAGCTCCAAGTCACATGTGTACAGTGGTAGCATTTGTTTCCGTATGTAATAAACACACCGTGATAGGTTGACGGCTGACAATATCCAGCATAGTTATTGATGGCATAAATATGTCCATAAAGACTGAGTGACAGAACTGTCCCAGTGCATACAACTCATAAATTTATAGACTGTTTAGGATGAAGCTAAGGTCCAAATGGCGTTTAGTTAAAGAATAACAGTATAGGAGGTACAGGGATATAGAAAAGATAAGGACGGGCTACACACGGGACTGGTGGTCGACACCTCACAGTAGAGGGGTGCTGAGCAGAGGTGCAAAACTGCAGCAGCTGGCTGGGTGGTTTCCCAGGGACCTGTGCCCAGCTGCGTCCTCGACACCTTGTACTGCCCTGGAGATGGACATGGTGCCAGGTTGAACAAATTGTCCCGTGTTCCAACGCCTCGCCCAGTTCATGTGCCGGGGCCACAGTGCGGGACAGAGGAGCTCAGGTCTCAGCCAGCTGTGGAGCCAGGCCCCAGCTGGCTGCACCCCCATCTCCTGGCATCGGGCCTGATCGGCTTTGGACCCTCAAACACGAAAGTGTCAGTGACTCCCCACCCAGTATCATGGCTGTTTGGGTCCCTCCTTGTAGACAGGGCTCCATCAGTTGCTGCTGTGGTTGGGCTCTGTTACGACTGTGTGAGTATTTATGGCTAAGTGAGGCGATACCGAGTGCTAATAGAAAATACCTATATAGGAAGTACATTAGTTTCCTAAGGTGACTGTGACAAATTACCATGAACTCGATGGCTTCAAATAATGGGAACATGTTCTGTCGCAGTCCTGAATGCCTGCAGTCCAAAGTCAGTGTCCGCCACGTGCCCTCCGGAGGGGCCTCCATGTCTGGCCTCCTCCAGGTCTTGCTTTCCGAGTGGCTCGTGGAATTCCTGGGCACTCCTTGACGTGCGGCTGCATCACTCCCATCTCTGCCGCCATCTTTTTTTTAAATTTTTATTGGGGAATTGGGGGATGGGAACAGCGCTGGGGAATTGGGGGAAGGGGAACAGACAAGTTGCTGTCCTTCTGTTCTTCAGTCTAGTTGTGGAGGACGTTGCTTCACTGGCCCAAGTTGGCACCATCATTGCGCTCTTCCCGGGCGAGGCAGATCAGTCACTGGCTTCTGGATGGCCACTCACAGCGGCTGCTGGCCGCTCACACTGGCTGCTGGCTACACACGGTAGCCCATGGCAACCCACTGCCACAGGGGCTGCAGCCTATGCAGCCGTTGCCAGCGACTCACAGCAGCCCAGCTCCAGGTTGAGCTGTTGTTCAGCATCTTAGCTGTGGAGGGCAGTGTCACTGGCCCTCATATGTGGGATCTGAACCGGGGCCCTCTGGCGTCCCAAGCCAGTTCTTAACCATCGCACCACTCGGCCGACCCTGTTCTCATTTTTTAATTGTCTCAGCTTTGGAAGGGGACCTCATGGACTGGCTCTGATCCAGGGAGTGTGGTGGCTTTTATTCCAGCTGTTTGGATCATTTCATTGCAGATTTTCCTACAGTTTTTGTCTTTTAGCTTATTTACCCTCTTGCTTGTCATCTATATTTTACCTTTTGAGATTCTTTCTATAATGACATGTGTCTTATAATGACATGCGCTTGAACAGGTGTGAAGCCGCCTTCTGAGCCTCACTTCCTATGACTGAGGACCATGTAGGGACCTGGTCTAAAACTGGACCAACCGTGGTCCACATCTGAAATTTGGATTTTCAGACCAGCTACATAAGTCCGTTCTCTTGCCTCTGTCTCCAAAA